AGGGCACTATCTCACACACGCTTGTTGGTCTTCTGTGAAATAGGATTTAAAACCGGTGGAACATCCTAGTTGTCATAATAAAGGAAAGTACAGTATGTATGCTGTTTTTACTTCGAAAATAGTACTTAAGTAGGGTTGTAACACTAATTATCGTATAGCACAGTCCCAAGATATTTCACCTATGTCACAATGCAGGCTTTTGAACGATCGTATTTTTGGCCGCCTGCGTTAACTCCACTATCTAAAAACGACTACTTATAGCTATAAATTTGTTATATACTTTGTCGAAAACATGCATAAAAATACTCTTTCTTACACTCGTTTGGTAGAAATTGGGTTCTCTTCGAATTCAGTTCTCGAAGATAGAATATCACTAGACCAAAAAAGAATTTTTAATTCCCGAATCATTTCGAACCGGACCTGATATCCTGCTTGTATTCAGGGCTTCTAGAATACAAGCTGTATGTCCTTAAGAAGAAGAAGAAGAAGAAGTCAAATAGGACTCATATAATTTTACAGCGGATATGAATCATGTCCACTTTATAGGCAGCACGGGTGACGTGCTGATGCTTTTTGTTTATGATAAGACACTTTATGGCCTGGAACGATCTCATAGTTAGAGACCTCTTATGAAACCGAAAGATACTTTTTCTTCAGGCATACAATTTAAGGTAGACGTAGTTTGTAGCCGAATGAGTACAAGAAAAAATATGATTGCGCATGTTTCCGTTGAATTTATTCGAATCTGTAAAGACGTCGAAAATCGCTGGGAAAAATTCATACTAATTTATTTGTAATTTTTTGCAGTAATTTTTGGAGGGGACTGGAAAGAAGCACGTTCAAGAGCCCTTATCTTTACGTGACTGATACGTCCTGGGATCATACTGTATAATAATAATTAATATTTTAACCCATTCGTGTATTTTTTTCGAATTGAAAACATATTTCAGATTTCCGGTTAACATTTCATGAGATTCTGCATGCATTTTAAAAGTTTGTCTTCTTGGACTTTTATCTCTTACCTTCATACTAATTCCGCCAAGTCTCGGAATAGCCATTGCCAATGCGTCCGTATTAAATTATTTTTTCTCTCTGCGTTGTCCGACCATCATTGCTGTCGTTGATCCGAGATGTACAAAAGGTCTTTTGTACCATGGATCACCATTTGAGCTTGTAACAGGAGAAAACATTATTTCGCTTTCTACTCTCCCGGAGTGTCCGCATTTTCTTGTAATTTTGCAATTTGTAGTCTCATAATTTTAAGCACTCCTCTACCGCGGCTACCATTCACGGTCGCTGAACTACCTTGCTTCTGATTGTCAGTGAACTGACATCTGCGTTTTCCAAGTGTCAGTGTAGGGGCACTCTGGTTCATAGACGAATAATGTTAGAATAATCCGTCAGTGAATGAACTACTTAACACAATGTCGAAAATCAAGTTCCTGGCATTTCAGGGGTGGGATCTCTTTCTGCGAGTATATTTGCCCATCAGTAGAGCCAACGACGTTTTTGTTGTCTTTTCAGAAGCGGAAGGATATACCTGCGAGATCTGTGGCAAAGTGTTTGCCTGGAAGACTTCCCTGAAGAAGCACATCGATGGTATACATAAACGTAAGCTTTTGTCTGCCATATGTTTAACGGTCTTTGTTATTCGATGAAGCCTTTGAGACGCAGTCTTTGTACTTGTTTAGTAGGATACCTTATGACACACTTAATTTGATGGTACTGTCGAAGTGGTATGGTCAACAACACATAGATTCGGACAAACGTTACTGTTGAAAGAGCCCAGACAGCTTCACACCCCTCTCACACCATGACCACCGCATGTCAGGTCAACACGCCCTTCCTTTATTTGCCCATTACGCTTGACGCCCGTAGACCGTTTTACTGTTGAACAGTTAATCTTAATGCAATGACCCTGGGTAGTTGTGTATAAGAGGTGAGTAAATTTTGTGGCGTCATAAACTTCCGTATATTCCATCGCTTTCGTCATTTCCGTATGTGTATCTTTCCCCGAGGTCAAGGTTAACATACCTGTCACGATATATTTTTGGATAGTCGGTGCAGCCGCGATTTTTTTTCCTCAAAAGCACGCCGTTTTCCCGCTCAATGCATGTCTTATACAGCGGCCATCCGTGGAAAACACGGACGGGCGCTACACCTCTCCTTTATGTCACTTAGGCATGTAATAGGCCCTTTGTAGGGCCGTTAGCATCGCAACAGCAAAGGAAATTAGAAAATACGACAGGCCTACCACCTAAGGACATTGGGAATTGTTCCTTTACCTCGTCTGTCCGCGCTATTCGGTCTCTCGTTTACACCGGGACCTGAAAAGCTTTGACGCTGTCGCTTGGCGGTAAAATCCATCCACCGTCTTCCTGATAATCACTGAGCCGCTCTCTCCCTCATCTCTGGACGACAATAGACTGAAAGCGGACGGTTGGAGTCGGTTTTATTCCCTGAATGAATACAGAGACTGTCTCTGAAGTGGTAGAATGCGAAATCTGCCTGTGGTGCACTTTATTCTCTTTTGTGTTGGATCATAAGAGTAAAACCCCGGGACAGCGTGACGCAGCATTATTTGTTTCACTTTGTCGAAGCCGTTTTCGCGGAGTTCACTTCAAACGGGGAACAGTTTCATTGGAAAATGAAAATGTTTTCTCGCACTTTCTCGATCGTCCAAGTGTGCACCCCGAACAAGGGAGTTTGTAGTAAAAATTGTGGATTTCAGAAATAATGTGAAGCAACCGATAGTATGTCTGCAGCCTGACAAGTTCAGGGAAAGAGTCAGGAAATGAGAAACAGTATCTACATCGCTTTCATCGACCTCACAAAGACCCTCGACACTGTTGAGCGAGGTGGACTTGTAGCAGCCGCTCCAGTCCCCCCTTCTCCGGATCCGTTTTGTCGGTCGATGGCCCTGACAATCTTTGACAGACCTCTGACACACGACCACCCCCGCCCGCCAGAACTGGGGCCCCTCCTGTCCAACTGCAGTGACTCCCGGCTGCCTTCACAAACTATTATCACCTCACGCGCGTCGGACGACCTGATTTGATACCCATGAGCCCCTGTGATTATGCGTCCCCCTTATCCTCCTCTAATCCGTCCAATCTCATGACCACCACCCAGGCAGTCACCCCCACCTACTGACACAGACTTACACCGCCGCGTAAACTACACACCGCGACTGACGCTCTTCGTGAACAGACGCTTATCCCTGTTGCAAGCAAACAGCCAACTTACTGCAATCTGCCCCGGTGTACAGAATAGAGTATTCCTTACAGCTCCCTGACTGCTGACATTAGACGAAGCGAACTTATTGTGCGTGATTTAAGTCGATCTCACATGCTCGACCGCCACAAATTGGTGACCCCGACGTGACCGCCACAGACTCTCCGACGCCATCCGAAGAATAAGTTGGACCTGTAACAAGTGTCAGTGGAATTTGCTCCACAGCTGTGGATGACTTCGAATATGGGCGCGAAACACGACCTGAACAAGCATTAACATCAACGATGAAGTTGTGAGCTAGATCTTTAAAGCCGACCAGGCTTTCGGTAGACTGCGGCGTTCAGTCTGACCTCACGGTCGTAACTTCCTCGACGCAAAAGTGGACGTACATAGTGCTTTCTCGGTGGCATCGCACCCGTAAATTTACCACACCCGGGTGGAAAAGCTGAACCACTTCCACTTGAGCTGTCCTAGGTTCCGTTCGTCTACGGCCGTGTAACCGCTCACCGGAAACGCCGTCGGACAGAAAGGGATTCGAAAAATGAAAATGAGACGACGCCGATTTTGGGCAACAGAGCAGCATTTCTCAAGGGCTTCATTCTAATATTGCCGGAAGACGGGGCGGAAACACTTACATTTTTGACAGAGGACTCTGTGCGAACTACTTATGCTCGTCGTCGGATCTAATTAAAGAAAACTTTTAAAAAGGGGTAGTTTAATGTTACTAAGTCACTTTAAGACTGTTGGTTGTGGAACACTTAAAGAAACTCACTGCGATGCCGTTTACTCAGACAGTGCTGAATCTTATTTATTTGCATTTCAGAACTGCGAAGATTTACGTGCGAGATATGTGGGAAAATATTTACGCAGCTCGGATCCCTGAAGAGGCATGTCGGCGTTATTCACGAACGTATGTCTCCTTTTTCTAGCATGTTTGCCTCTTTCATACTCATGCTGATGTAATCCTAGTTTGTTGTTGGTCCTTTTAAACGACATCTTTCCGTGGAAAGTGAAAAAACTGATTTTACTTAGGAACAGAGTGATAACAATTGTGCCGACACGCACTTTTTTTTGAAGGCCTTAACGTGTAGGCATGCAAACATTGGTGGATGATTTTCCAGCCGAATTTTGACCTTGACTACTCCCATGGCGTAAAACGACAGTGTCAGTTTCTAGCTTTACGGCTCGTATTCCTTGCATTTCCGAAACCACAGAGGATGATAGACGGAGCGCGTGCTTCAATTTTGCTATCTTTCCTTTGATCGGACATGGGAATATGGACCTCGCGCCAAATTCGAGCTAGTTGGAAGAATTTTAATTTCGGAAAAATTGGGACATATCTGGTCTTTTTTATTTGCATTTCAGGACTTCACGAGTTCACGTGTGAGAACTGCGGCAGGGTCTTTACGCGACTTGGTTCCATGAAGAGGCATGTCGACGTTGTCCACAAAAGTACGTTCCTCTTCACCAGACGCACAGTTCGTGGCAGGTGTCGACATTAACGAATGACTGTTACTCACTCACAAATCGACACCGATGTGTGGACCCAATATATAACAACATTGAGAGAATTAAAAACACGAATTGTTGACGGCAATGTCGCATTGCCTAGAAATACCATTTGTTTTTCTAGAAAAGCGGAAAGTCCAGAAAACTTCGAAAATGATTGTAGTTGTGTGAACTTCAGTTTTATTTCTACAGAAAGCCTGTCTGTATGGAACACTGAGTAGGTAGGGGGGCACAAATAAAAATCTTCTGAAAGTAATATTTTACTGAAATTAACGTTAAAACGGTTTTCTGAGGATTCGTGATAATCTTTACGCTTTTGCATTGGTTGAAATGCGGTTCAATATGACAAACTAGATTTTAATTGATTCCGCCGATAGGGACGTCATTGGGACACAAGTTTTTACAAGGACACATGTTGGCAGACGGGTTAGTGACGAAAAAATCTAACTATATTGACAAACGTAAGCGTAAACATACCATTTTGTGTATCTAAAGGGGATATTTCTTCAGCGAAATTAATTTGCACTTTTCGTTGTTCTAGATTACGTTGAGTTCCTTATCGGCCTTGAAATATCGTTTTATTCAATCAGGAATGGGCGCACACCGATCTATTGGCTTCACAAAGCAAACAAGCTCCGTATGTGTGGCAAAGGTCACGAACAGGCAAATAATTACCAGGCCGAAGTCGGCCAAGTCATAATAGCAGCGAGGAGGTAGGACAGAGTATGCGGGTAGATTGATACAGTACTGTTTCGGGCTTATTCTGCCTTCATTCAGCCAATCATAACCCTGACCAACAGCTGGGACCAGGAACACAAACATGCGCCCGAAACAGTACTGCACCAATCTACCCGCATTCTCTGTCCTACCTCCTCGCTGCTATTATGAATTGGCCGACTTCGGCCTGGTAATTGGTTGCCTGTTCGTGACCTTTGCCACACATACGGAGCTTGCTTGCTTTGTGAAACCAATAGATCGGTGTGCGCCCATTCCTGATTGACAAATACTCGATCTGCAGCGACAGAGAATGACAGGTGGCGAGGCACTGATGAACTTCGGTTCGATGAAGTGCTTATGACTCATCTGGTAGGCGCCTCAGTGGTGGACCGACTGCGCCAGGTGCGTCTGTGCGCATGTTTGTGTTTCTGGCCGCAGCTGCTGGTGGTCAGGGTTATGATTGGCTGAATGAAGGCACACTAAGCCCGAAACAGTACTGTATTAATCTACCCGCATTCTCTGTCGTCCCTCCTAGCTGATATCGTTTTATGATTTTCATTGTTTCCTTTCAATTGCTCGTAGGAAATTATTCTGTATTATGTTAGTTGAAACCTTTAAAATAAGATACGTCTTGGCGGCGTCTATCGAATTAGTAGGTAATTAGATGCTCTCTTTCATGTAGAATGTCGTTTGGGTCACATTTTAATACTCGCACAAACAGAAGACCTTATCGAATAAAATGGACGTCCACAACAAAAGTCAACAACAAATATGACTTCGATCAACAAGAGAAAAAAAACGGTGAGATCGCAGTTCGTAGCCTGGGATTCTAAGTCAACATTGTTGCCGTACTTGCTTCCTACCAGTAGGCGTGTTTAAATTAAGTTTTATAGTTCTCTTATAAGTTCGAGGAGTGCTTTAATACTACAATAGGTTAACGGATGTCTGAGTACCTTGGTTTTTTACATGATAACGACTCAGGCAAACAGAAAGCCTCATCATCGAGTGAAATAAACGTCCACAACAAAAGTCAACAACGAATATGACTTCGATCAGCAATAAAACATTCTTTTATGAGTTGCCTTTTTAAAGAGTGCTCTAATACTACATTCCATTGACGGATGTCTGAGTGCCTTGGTTTGTTACACGATAACGCCAGAAAACGTTTGACACTTTTGACTGTTTCTTTCAAGTTGCTAAAAATACTGATATTTTTCTACCACAAATGTAAAAATAGGCTTTTCTCTTTACATTACGTCAATTTTCATCATTTCTACCCACGTTTAGGCTCTGTCATACGATTATGAATGCGCCGCTGTGTGGCCAGATAAATATCTTTTTGCTCGCTCCATTTCTACAGAAACCAGACCTCACGATAAGTAAGGTTTCATGTGTTCAGAACTGGGAATAATCATTCGGTGGTAGCAATTTCTGTGACGTCTAATATAACTTTCCAAAAGGCGAAACAATTTCAGTCCATTTAGACGAAGGATTGCCTTTATGCGTTTTTACTGCACTATAGGGCATCACATCGCACAGATTTGTTAATCCAACATCTTAAAATTTATAAAACACTTGGTCAATAGAGGCGATGAGACGAGTTCCAGGAAGCAGTCGTGAAGAAGAAGACACGATCGATGGGGCAAGAGCTTTATTCGCCTGACGTTTCGGATTCCTGCTTGAGCCCATCATCAGAAACAAAAGCAGATACGGTTGGCTCATGCACAAGGGACTGCAGTCGCCATGCTACCGCATATCTATGAATATTCACGGCTTCCCCCTTCATCCGGTATCGTCGCACTTGGTGTGATGACTGTTTGATGGCCGACATTCGCGTAGTTAATTGCTGCAATTTCACCACGTGTGTTAGATGTTGGTGTAAGGATTGCTCGACCATCTGCCGCACTGACCCTGACGTTGGGGAGAATGTTCACCTGCGCGCTTCCCGCGTGGTTAATTACTCCGCCAAGGCGAAGTCTGGTTTTCCAAAATAAACCTGTGTGATAGCAAACTGATTCCCGCGGTTAGCATCCACACGCTGGTTGTTTTTCTGTCGACTGCAGGATGGTGCCTTCGGTCGGTCAAATTATGTACTGTTGCCCTTTTTTAGAACTACGAGACCATGCATGTGACGTTTGCGGAAAAAGTTTTGCCCAAATTGGAGACCTGAAGATCCATGTTGACGCCGTCCACAAGAGTGCGTCCATTTTCCTTTACTGTTCTTACCTCTCACATGGATTAATACCGTCCGGGAAGCATTTCTTCTGGTATATTTTGGTAGTTTTGGTAACCAGTTAAATTGATTTATAAAACTGCAATTTGACATCTAGCTCCGGCAGCGAATTTTGAGTTTTGAGAGTGGTGTGCTAGCAGACAAGCCGCTCGCAGAGTGAGAAACATACTAATGACAATCTCGTCTTTAAACTTTTTTATTTATTTTAAGACGTCCCGGAAAATATGCATTCACTATTGTCTTGTGTAGTTTTAACTCCAGAAATGCACATTTGGCTCTTCAGAAGCGTCCTTTCCTTCCTTTCTAACCACCACCGTTAGACCTTGTCAGCCTTAACATGTGATCATAGCTACTCAAACAGTGCTACTGAAATGATATCAGTAACGCATTTGTAATCGTTTTGGTTTCGTGACGTGACATATTTCCCATAGCACGTTAGACAAGGTTTTCGACTCAAACTCTCTTAACCATACTGAGCTAAACTGTCTAAGCCCTTTCTGTTTTTTTTCAGATCTGAGAGAGTATACCTGTTACATTTGTGGCAGCGCCTTTACCTACAGGGCACACCTCTCGCGGCATATCGACGCAATCCACAACCGTATGACTCCCTGCAGTTACCATTTTGTTTCGGTCTCGGTTCTTTAGCAACTTTATTAGCGGCTTTCGCTGCGCGTGTCTTACACTCTGCTTTTTTGTAACTGTTGATAGTAATTGGTGACCTCACTTTAGAAAACTAGTGTCAATCACACTTAAATTTCAAATAGCGAAATATTAGTGCGATTGGTATCATCAGTTTTATTTTTAGTAGTGCTAGCATGTGGACGTGGTCTTTGCATGTTTTTAGTCCCATTAGATTTTCCAGACGGCTTTCCAACTGCATTTATGTCTTAACAACTTTAAACAGGTAAACTCAAAATGTAAGTACAATTACTACTACTACTACTGCTGCTGCTGCTGCCGCCGCCGCCGCCGCTACTACTACTACTACTACTACTACTACTACTACTACTACTACTACTGCTACTACTACTACTACTACTACTGCTACTACTACTACTACTAATACTACTACTACTACTATTACTACTTCTACTGCTACTATTACTACTACTAATACTACTACTATTACCACTACTACTACTACCACTACTGCTGCTGCTGCCGCTGCTGCCGCTGCTGCCGCTACTACTATTACTACTACTACTACTATTACTACTACTACTACTACTACTACTACTACTACTACTACTACTACTACTACTACTACTACGTCTACTACTTCTTCTACTACTAAAGGTCTACTACTGAAAGCCGCCTTTGCGCAGCGTACAAAAATTGACCTTTTCCTTTCAGTCTATGCACAATAGGGATATCTTTTTGGCATCGGAATCATCCTCCAGTTATTCTTTCGAAATGGGCTTTCTGTGATGTAGGCTGAATCTCAGTTGTACGAAATATGCCAATTAAATGTAAATTGCAAATTCGCAAATTTCAGGTAGATCGGTATCATGCTTCGGATGCTATGCTGTATTAGGGAGCAACATGCTGTTTGATCGACGTGGACGGTATCCTTATTATGTTTAGTCTCACATACCAACTTAAGAGAGCGTTTATTGGATTGATGGTTACCGGAAGGAGTTTAAACCACTCTTTACCGGCCTGCACTATTTGTCTCAATTTCAGAGTTAGTTTTTTCAGCTATCGATGAGCTGCACATCCCAAAGTCCCTTATCCCCTATTTTTTGGTTTTTTAGAAATACGAGGATACACCTGCGAGACTTGTGGCAAAACGTTCACTCGAAAGACATGCATGAAGGAGCACATAAACCGGATACACAAGCGTAAGCTGCAGCTTGTTTTATCTTCCAGGGTTTTGTATAACTTTCGCGAATAACGACGGTTTCTAAAGGCCCCGTAATGTTTGTCCTTTGGATGGCAATAATGGTGGGCCTGATGTCTTAACTGTTTAGTGGTGTCGGCTTCTAAAAGACTGTGTAACGGGTTGTATTCATGCCTTGGGCGTTTGAAACATACCGTCTTCTTGGCCATGAGTGGAGTTTCGTGAGGTGCGAAATGTAGTAGTCATGGTTGTACCAACTGAATTATTATGTATGTCTTATGTGAACAGACACTTACGTTCTCTGTTACTCACTTAACAAGTATGACATTTATGGTTGGAAACCGATACCATACTTTTTACGCCTTTGAACCCTGTAGTCGGTTTGACTTGCCCGAAGTCAAAGATAAGAACTACTGGGAAAGGGTTGGGTTAGCTGTCGGTATACTGACTGGCAGCTGTCAGGAGCGGAGGAACAAAAAACGGAGGTTAACGGTCCTCGATTTGTGGGGTAACAGGAATGTCTACCAGGCTCACTTGTTCGATGGTCAGACAGTCTTTCACGATTAAGCACGATGGAATATCCAGCTGGATACGGTATCCCCAAACATTCGACATTTAAATCGAACGTGTCGTTTTTGACCCCCGACCCCGTCTTCCGTCTTTTCCATAATTCCGTTATCTTCTTGTCTGGCGTGCTCTTCCACTCGTAAAACCCCACCGTTACCGTCATTCCCGAATAACACGACCTGCAGTCTATCGACAGGTAAATGGGATCCTTCACCCTACAATTGCCAGTTCCTCACGCCCCACCTATTGATGCAGCCAGAAATCCCCTACTTTCTTAACGGCGCAGAGCTGTAGTTATTGGTTTCGAGTGCCGAATTCAAGCGCTTTGAGTGGTTGAGAAATAGTTGCCCTAACCCCAACCCCAGCCCCTAATTATAACTCCAAACTCCAACAGTATGGTGCTTATTAGATGCGGCTGCATATGCAATATGCCTCCAACATGCTAATCTCTCGATATAACACCTCAAACGTGCAATGAACTGCAGGCCTCAGTAGAAGGTACCACGTTTCTAGACATGTTTTTCGTTATGACTGACTGGATGAATGACCGCTTGGTGCGTCGTTCGATGCACCGCCCAGACGTTCGCTTCTTATCGAGTGTCATGGCCTAACGTTAGCAGTGCCGAGTGCCGACTTTCGAATGTGATTCTTTTCGACCGCCTGTAAAAACTGCACTGTAAAAAATGACATCTTATGTAGTATCAATACAAATTTTCGATGCCTTTATTAATTCATTTATCCTTTTAGTAAAGTGTGCTATGAAACATTCTTTCTCGTAGCAAATCAGGTCTTCATTAAATCCTATACCCAAAAAGGGTATTCCTCGGTTTTAAAAAGTTTCCAATTATAAGATGTTTTAAGACGGTGAAATGTCCATTCGTACACCATTGCACCAGCACATTTAATAATGCCACAGTGAGTGACCTATCTCATGAGATGCTTTCTGAAATTCTAAACTGCTTCCTCGATTAGGAAAGATTACTTAGGCGCGGTTGTAATACTGATTGTCATGCGCATAATCTTATAATGTTGCGGACTTGGCAGGATGTCAACTTTTGAATACACTGTTTTCAATCTCCTGTAGAAACCGCACCCTGTGAAAAGTGACTACTTAAGTGGCACACTATTTTCCCGTTGATTTTCTTTATATTTTATGTTCGAAGAAGGAGTATAATTAGGTTTTAAAGAAGTTTCTAATTATGCTATTTTTCAGACCGCACAATGTCCATTCATATAGCATCGTACCTGTATTATTACCACTGCTCCTCATGAAATGTACAACATATTCCGCATCCATTGCAAAATTTTATGGACTCTGTATGATGTCTTTTTGAAGACGTAGAAGAATATGTGATTTTGTTTACTCGGAACGCATGCACCTCGTAAACTGCAATAACTAAGCCCTAGTGCAACGACCCGTCAGGCTCCAAATTATTCGGCAATTAGAAAAATCTTGTAAAGCACAATTATATTCTATTCCCAGAGAAAGGCTGTTCCTCGGTCTTAAAATTCTCAAATTATGAGATTTTTTAAGACTGTGAA